TGTTCTGCTTAGGTCCAGGTTTGTAATGGCCCAGAAAGGTCCTTTGCCACCGGCGGGAGGTCATATGGGAGCAGCAGTGTTTCATGATGTTGTATGTTGCCTACAGCATCATATTATTGTCTGTAATTGTATCTGCTCATCTGTGTGATGCAGTGTCACAGTGGTGTCAAGGCTGAAATGGCCTTAAAACTGTCCCTCATTGCTGTTTAAAGCCAAGGAGTTATGGGCTGTGAAAGTTTCCGAGGCCATTTTAATTCCACAAATGGAAAGACCAAAGGTAAAGGTCATGGTGTCTAGGTTTTATCTTTGGCTTTTATCTTTTTGTGGGTAAGAGCGCATTTCCAGAAGCCAAGAAATGCCTTCTTCCTATCTGTGGTCCAGTGGCATGACTGACCTCAAAGATCAGGGAATAGATGTGCCACCCAGCCTCCCTTTACACAGAGAGAAGATGCAAGTTAACTCAGCAGTCCTGGGGCGGCGGGGGGTGGGGGTGGGGGAACTCCTTCATTCTGGATCTGATCCTCAGTTTCTTCTCTGTGTTGGGACCATTTCACAAATGTAGATATAAGCACTGCAATGTAGATATAAGCACCGCATTTCTCTTACTTCTGAGATGGCAGAGAGAAAGTGGGGGCATCCCATTACCAGTTCTCTACTTTTAATCTCTCCTTCACATTTGAAATTTTTGTACTCAAGTGATAATTTCTCCAAAGTACAACTCTTTTTGAGCAGGCAGTCTTTTCCCCCCTGCTCAAAATCTACCAATGGTTTCTTCTTAAAAAAAGGAGGTTAAGTTTCTTTGTCTCTGTGTTCTGATAGCCCATCTTTCCAGTTCCCTCCCAAAGTGCTGTTTTTCTGGACCTTGCCTCATGGTATCCACCAGGTATCACCCCTTTGCTTTGTCCTTCTCTCCACCCTTCCTGATTTATTCAAGAGCCTCTGTTTTCTACTCTATTAGATGGGATGGGAATAAATAGACCTCATTGAACTGTTCGATAGGTTAAGTGACATATGAAACAGACCAAGCCCAGAGCAAACACTCAATAAAAGCCCGTGGTTATCATTCCGCAACTGGTTCAATCCTGGAGATCAGAGAGTTCTGCAGGCAGAATAGGTGGTGAGGTCTGAGACTGAGCAATAAAGGGGTAAATCAGAAAGTAGAACATAGATGGAGAGAGCAGGGACTTAGCATGTTGAGAGAGAGGCACAGCCACCACAGGGGCCCATGAATATGACACACTCCTAAGCAAAGAAGCATATGGTTGACATTAGGATAAGTCTGTATTGCCTCAGTTTCCTTGAAATTAGCTCTGGTTTCATCTGCTAGTTGGACTTTCTGGTCTACCACATTAAGAGTTTGGAGCAGCCTTTCTCTGGGGGCATATCTCAATTTCTCTAGAGATCCTGCCTGTGCTTTTTGTAGTGTGGCTTATGTGTCACACTGATCTGCATCTAACTATCTCTGTGGGTTCCAAACACTGCTTTGATTGTGACAAAATATATAGAATATAAAATCTATATATTCACCATTTTTAAGTGTACAGTTCAGTGGCAAGAAGTACATTCACATTGTTGTACAACCATCACCAAAATCCACCTTTTCATTTCTCCATACTGAAACTGTACCTGTTAAAAATTTAAGCCAGAAAGAAAAAGAAAAATAATGGATGGTTTCACTCATAGCAGGAGTGTAAGGGATCAAGAAAAAATATATATATATAGGGTGTATATATATTATACACACACATATACACACACATATATATATACCCTATACATACATATATATATGTGTGTGTGTATGTATGTACACATATATGTATGTATATGTATATATGTATACACACACACACAAGATCAAAACTGGGGTGGGAAGAGCACATGGAACTATGGTGATGGCATACGAGTGAAGTGATGGTGGGAAGTCCACAGGGATTACAACTGAGATGAAAAAATGTACAAAATTAAGAATAATGTAAAATATATATATATACGCATATAATATTTTAAAATATCCAGTGTGAACACACACACACACAAATTAAGCCCCCAATACAAACAGTTAATCTGTAATAAAGGAGCCAAGAATAAACATTGGAGAAAGTCTTTTCAATAAATAGTGGTGGGAAAATGAATAGCCACATGCAAAAAGAATACAAGTAATCTACTATCTCACACCATTAACTCAAATGGATTAACAACTCAGATGTAAGATCTGAAACCATAAAATATGTAGAAGGAAACCTGGGCAAAACTCTCCACAACATTGGCAACAGGGATATCTTTGAGGACTTGATTCGAATAACCAGGAAAACAAAAGCAAAAATAAATTAGTGTGATTACATCAAGCTGAAAAGCTTCTGTACAGTGAAAGAAAGTATCACTAACATTAAACACCCCAATGAATTGTAGAAAACATTTGAACATCATACATTTGACAAGATGTACAAAGAACTCATTCAACACCCCCTCCCAAAAGACCCAATCAAAAAATGGGCAAAAGAGCTAAGCAGGCATTTTGCCAAAGAAGTTATGCAGATGGCCAACAGGCACATGAAAAAATGCTCATCATCATTTATCACCAGGAAAATCCAAATCAAAACTCCAATGAGATATCATCTTGTACCTTTGACAATGACCCTTATCAAAAAGTCTAGAAACAATAATTATTGGTGAGGGTATAGGTAAACAGGAACCCTTGTACACGGTTGGAGGGAATGTAGCCTGGTCCAGCCCCAGTGTAAAGTATTATAGAGATTTTCCAAAGTATTAAAAATAGATCTGCCATGTGAATGCATTTCTAGGTTTCTACCTGAAGAATACAAAGCACACTAATTCAAAGGGACACATGAACTCCTATGTTCGCTGCAGCACTATTTACAATAGGCAAGTTATGAAAACAACTTAAGTTCTCTAAGACAGATAAGTGAATTAAGAAGATGAGGTATATATACACAATGAAATACTACACAGCTCTGAAAAAGATGGCCTCTTGCCTTTTGCAACAGCATTGATGGAACTGGAAGAGAATGTGCTAAACAAAATGAGTCAGAAAGGGAAGGAAAAAATTCTTGATGTTTTCAGTTACATGTGGAACATAGAGACACAAGATAAAGGATCAGGCAAAAACATACCCTAGAAATCTGATTATAGAATTGAGGTTACCAGAGGGGGAGGGAAAATTGGGTGTAAAAAGCAAAGTTGGGAGGGGGCAAAAGTAGAGAGGGGGCACAGTGATCTGTGATGGAGGACTGTGGGTGCCTTGGTGGTGGGTGTGGTGTAGTAACATACATCTGAAGAGGTTTGATCCTATACCTCTATGTCATATACAGTGTTGTGAACCAATCTTACCTAAAAAAATAAACAAACAAAACAAATGCAACAAGAGTAGACATGCAGTATTTGCCCTTTTGTGTCTGGCCTGCTTCATTCACGTCTTCACATGCATCCGTGTCGTAGCATATGTTAGAATTGCCTTCCTTTACAAAGCTGAATAACAGCCTTTATGTGCAATACCGCATTTTGTTTATCATTCATTCATTGATGGACATTTGGACTATTTCCACTTTGGCTCCTGTGTTTAAAGGCTGCTGCAGAGGGGGTGTGTAAATATCTGTTCAAGTTCCTGCTTTCATTTATTTCTCTTGGATATGTACCCAGGAGTGGAATTGCTGGATCGGATAGTAGTTCTGTGTTTAATTTTTTGAGGAACAACCATACTTCTCCACCAGCAAGTTTCCAATTGCTCAACATACTCACCTATACTTGTTCCTTTCTGATTTGACTTCGATGTATTTATTTATTTTTGATAGTAGTCAGTCTAATGGCCTGAGGCATCTCTCTGTGGTTTGTATTTGCATTTCCCGAGTCATAAGTGATATGAAGCATTTTTTTCCCTGTACTAATTGGCCGTTTGTATAACTTCTTTGGAGAATTGTCCTTTGCCCAGTTTTTAATGCAGTTGTTTGTTTTTTGGTTTTGCTGAATCTAAACTTTTTAATGTCCAGGGAAACCGCAGATCCTCATTTTGGAGCTGTTTGGTGGCGGCAGTAACAACAGCAGCTCGCTTTTATTGAGCACTTACATCACCCATGCACTATGCCAAGTGTTTATGTGACTCTCCCCTCCTCATCCTCATGACAACCTTTTGAGAAAGAGGATGTGATCTTCTCCATCTTGCACTTGAAGAAATGGAAGCTTGAGGCCTTGCCTTTGGCATCATAGCTCTTAAGAATGAGGCAACCTCGGATCCACACCGACTTCCATCTGTCCCTAGATGATAGTACTGATTTCCTAGCCCCCTCTCAAAGGGGCTGGCATTGAACTCTCTTCCTAAGTCAATACTTCATCCATATGTATGAGAGCAGCAGTGACATTTTATAGGAAACCACCCAGACGGAGCCTCAGTGCCTGTGGAAAACCATATTTACTCTATATAGTCAGTTCCTAAATCCCAGAGGTCTTGCATCTGAAAGGAAGCACAGATATGTGTGACATTAAGTGCCAAGCCTTCTGCTATTCCAAAAAGCTTTCTAAATGGAGTGATATAATATCTTCCCTAAGGACCCAAGCCCCTACGTAAACTCACTCTCTGGTGGTGCAGTGTTGTTGCGAGGGTCCAGTCCTTTCTCCACTTGGAACAGCTGTGTGATCCCTGGGCCCTCTTCATCTGAAGATGGACCGCCCCCTCCCCTCACTGTCTGTCCAGGTTTTAGGTGGGTAGGGCAGAGTGAAGGCAGGGACCCTCGCCTTGGAGATGCATCCATAACTGGATGGTCCAACATGATGGCTCTTTGGGGGCACATTCTCTATTCTTTTTGTGTTGGTTTTTAATCTGAACTTGGGTTCACACAGCTGGGGCTGGGGCTGGGGCCATCGCCGTGACTTAGGGTTGGGAAGAAGTTGGCGGAACATTCCCCAGCAGGCCTTGGGCAGGCCGGGGATCCCGCCTAAAATACGGTGGACAAAGGAGCTCTTGTCCACAGGCCTGAGGGTGGGAGGCATCTGGTCAGTGACACAGGCTTGGCCATTGTATGTCTTGACCTCAGCCAACTTTTTTTAGCTGAGAAAGGGGAAAAAGAGAGAGTGGAAAAAAAAAAAGAAGAAGAAAAAAAGAAAGCCTTCAGAAGCTTTGCATCTGGAAAGTCCAGAATGCGTTGTTGATTTCCCCATGAGGGCTGGAGCAGATTTGGAAGGAACTGTGCAATGTAGTGGCTTCTTTGTGAAAGAACTGCAGTGAGAAAAGCCACAGGAACATCCTCTGGGTGCCCAGAGCACTGACCCTGGGGGAGCGGCTTGCTCAGCCTCATTTCCCGCAGAGGGTGCCATGGAGAGGAAGCTGGCAAGGGCCTGGCTCTGAGTCTGGGGACTTCATACAGGACTCAAGACCCTCCTGTGAGTTAGTGGCCCCCCAAGAAGTGCTGCTCTTGTCTGATGGTAAGCGCTGGTTCTGATGGTTATCGCCTGCAGATAAATGGGCCTCTTGCTTTCTCTGCCTGTTGCTAAGATGACTTTAACATTTTAAAGAGGTATTTCTGAGAACCCACTGGCATGTGGGCACTAACTGCTGGACTTAGAAGGACTGGTGACCTCCTGTGCTGGCTGAAGGGCCCAAGCCATAAGCAAGGAAAAAGATGAGGAGAGCAGTTGTGTTAGAAGTCAGAAGAGGAAGGGACGGGGGAAGAGGTTTTCAAAGGGGTGTCTGTGGAGGGAAGGGCTGTGTTGGTTCCTTGGGGAGCAGTTTAGAAGGGGCATGTGACTGGGGAGCAGTGTGACATGAACCCCAAGCCCCACTGTGGGAACTGGCATTCAGATGCCTCCTCCCTCTTGAACTTTTCTCACATACAAGAGAAGGTAGAAGCAGCTTTTTTCCTCCTCTCCCCTAGCCTAGTTTTACTGGGAAAACTATAAGGGGTAAGTGCCCTCAGAGGGTGTCTGTCCTGTGAACCCAGCCTCTGCACGGTGGCCCGGGCTGGGCTGGATTCATCTGTTCAGTTTGGTGGTGGTGGCAGCAGCAATAATGATGTTGGATGCTCTCCTGAGACATAGAGGTGGAACATTTCTTTCATCAGTGTTTCTGCCTCTACAATTTCGATCCCCTCCTTTAGAAAGAGTGACCTCTCATCAGCCAAGACATCCGTGGCCTCTGTCTTGGAGGCTTTGGGCAGCTGAGGGAGGCCCAGCTTATAGGAAAAGAGTCATCTGCCACTCCATTCCTCCAGGTCTCTCCCCCACTGTCCAGATAGCTGTCATCTCAGATTTTGAGGTGGTCACTCATGGAGGTCTGGACTTGTGCCAGGAGGAGAAAAATAGTGCTTATTATCCAGAGCACTTCTTGATATGTCAGCTGAGCTCCTCGGGAGGTCCTTGTGAACCTCCTCAAAGGTGAGGGTGTATGTGGCTTGCTAAGGCCCCTGGCTCCGGGACCAGGACTCTATTGCTAACCAGTTCCCCAAGAACACACTCAGGTGCAATGTGATTCAGGTAACACACTTGGAGAGTGACTTCTGTAAAGAAGCCAGGCCCCTCAAGTTCTGACAGAGGTACAGCAGCCCAGGATCTGCGGCAGGAAGCTAGGGCTCTGGCAGGTCTGGGCCTGGCTGGGTTGTAGGTGCAGGTTTGTGGGGAAGAAGGGATCCGTGAAGAAGGGGAACACTAAGGTGAATTCGTGGAGCAGAGAAGAGCCCACGTAAAGCTCATGGCCGACCCTGACACATGTGGGGTGTGGACCTTCTGTGCCTTGTGCTCAAGCTGAAGTGGTCAGGAGGTCAGTTCAGGGTGAGTGGGGAGCAGGGGTGCCGGCCACCATCCAGCACAGAACGGCCACCCCAGGCCTGCCTTTGTGTGAAGCCTAGCATCAGATTCAAGGAAGCCTAGGATGTAAGGGCAGAAATCGGTTTCTAGGCAAACAGAACTCAGTGGTGTGAATCTGGAATACAAGTGAAGGGGTGGGTGGGCTCTTGTCCATCAGGACACTGTTCACCACGTAGAAACAGAGTTGCAAAGCTGCCAGGTGCTAGGCCAGCTTTTGAGGGGCAGGGCGGTGCCTCCAAGTCCAGTGTCCACATTTGAATGTGACTTTCTTCCTCCCTTAACCATAAAACAGATATACTGATGTTAATTTCCAGAGCCATTGAGTATTAGGCCACACACACACACACACACACACACACACACACACCCTTGGGGACCATCTGGTCCAACTTCCGTGGTTTCTGACATGAGGAAATTGAGGCCAAGCAGCAGAGATGAAGCAAGTTGCTCAGGAGCTGCAGGATACAAGACAGAGGCAGCTTTGGGCCTGGCACTCAGGCCTCCCAATCACACCCCACATTCTTTGTGTGGTACCACAGAGCTCTGGTAGCTCTCACATCTCCACAATAATCTTCTCAGCAGTCACCATTTGTGTAGTTTTACAGGCACCAGCAGCAGAGACTCCAAAATGCCACTGACTGGTGGAACCCGTCCCAGCCCCTGTTTGCCTTGATCTCCCTCGGGTGCTCAGGGTTCAGAACCAATTAGGTCTCACTGGGAGCCGGCTGCGAGTCAGAAGCCTTTGATGGGCACCGCTTGGAGCTCGGGCTGGCAGCACTGCAGAGTGCAGGAATGAGTTTCCGTGGTGAGAGGTTTTCTTTCGGTGCCTGTGCACCTGCAGTTAGCAGCCAAGCTGCCCCTGCTGCTCGCAGCCAGTCAGGCCCTCAGAGATGCCCAGCCTGGTGCCAGTCGTAAGCTCTTCACAATGGCATGCAGGGAAGCCTGCTTTTTCCCCTGGAGCATCTGATGGCAGCGGCTTTATCGCTGGCCCTTGAAGTTCCTTTCTGGTGAGCAGGCAATGGGCTGGGCTAGCAACTTTCAGTGCCCTTCTGAACTTCCTAAGTCCAGTTGGGATGGACCAGAATGCTTGGTACAGTTTGGCTATAGGTTTGTCTTCAGAGATATAACAACTTTAGGAAGTGCCAGCAGCAATGATAGAAAGTTTTGCAGCTTAATACTAAAGGAAGGCTGGGGAGGACTTCACTAGCTCCGCTCTCCTCTTACTCTATCTCAGCAGTAAGTGTTGGCGAAACTTTCTTCTTTCCAGGATTTCTCTGCAGAGGTAAGTTTGACCAGGAATCATCTAGAATCATCTAGAAGGGGCTCCACCTGGATGGAGCTCCCTAGGGAAGGTGTTATTGATGAACCATCGTCACCATGTCCATCAAAAGCATCTTCTGGGGCGAGATCATTGATATTGTTATCTAATGAACTAAACCACCAAAGAAAATCTAGGCTGCATTTTGAGATCCTTCAGGACTGTGGTACATGCTGATCTCCTCCTAGTCCTTTCTTTGACAAACAGGAACGTGTTAGCCTCAACTGTGGCACAGAGAATGAGGGAGGGAGGGGGGAGCGTAGAAGGGATGAAGAGGTGGCCAGTAAGTCTCCAGGTCTGAGCTGTAATGCCCACAATTTAATATCCCAGTCTGTGCCTACATGTGATGATTTCCAACTTTTTTTTTTAACTCACTTTACTTGTGTCTGCATTTCCAAGTTGGATTTGGTCAAACAAATGAATCAGTATCTAGACCAAAAGAGTTTGTGACTTCTTCCTCTCTGGGCCTCAAAAGAATGAGTTGGAGATAAGCAACCGAAAGGAAAGCAATGTTTCATGAACATTTATGCTCCTGGTCAGGAGGTCCCTGTCATCGCCTTTGTTTATGTGGCTGCTGCTTTTGCAAGCTTGCACTGGTCATGTAAATGCCTTGAAATTTCCCTTGTGGTGGTTTTTTACGCTGTTATGAAAGACTTTCCTCAGGCCATAGAGGCCTGCATTTGAGGTCTGGCAGCCCCTGGTTTTACAGATGAGGAAGCTGAGGCCCAGAGGGACCGAGGGTCCCTTATACATTACAGCTTATCTGGGAATACGGTTACTTTATGATTAGGCTGGGTGATTTCTGCTAATGCATCAATCTTCCCCAAGACTGATCAAGAGGTAGACGATTAGGATGGCCATGCTATTTTCATCTACCGGAGAAGGGGTAAGGAGGGAAGGATCTTATATCCCTCAGCCTCTGAGGAGCTGGGAGTTGAAATAAAACATCTGCTCATCGGAAGTTAGTGACCAGAATCCCTCAGGTTTTCCTGCTTAGAAGCTAGAAAAGGAACCTTGCCCTTGGTGGCTTTGAAGCATCAGGTTCAGACCATAAAAGGGACACAGCTGGGCCCTCCCTGGTGGCACAGCGGGTTAAAGCACTGTACAAAGAAGCTTAAGCCACTTCCACATGAGTTCGATCCCCACCTACCCCGGAGGAGATCCACACGGTGTGGCAGACCTCTCCTGACCCACCCGCTGCTCCCCCCAGCAGCGTACCTCGTCGATCTGCCTGTTCTGCTCCCCACTCTGTCCTGGTGAATCCTCTCACCCTCCGCATCTCTGGCCTGTACCCCAGTTCTGTATGAACAAATAAATAAATCTTTAAAAAAAAGGGGGGGGACGCAGGTTTTGGGCTTTCTCTGGGGTCCCCAGTCCCCAGCAGCTGCCATTTCCTTACTCCCCACTCTTCTCTGTTTCCAGAGCACCTGTGGGAACCTCTTCCCTGAATGACCATAAACACAGCCACGAGGCATGTGAGCTGCCGCACATTCTGTGCACAGTTATACTGTTTGGTTAATGCTTAGATTCTCCCAAGAGATGCAGAGGAGTTGGCATCTTTCAGATCCTGACATATGGCGTCACTGGGCAGGTGTTGCCAGCCACAGCTCAGGTGGAAGTGGGCCGGCATCCAGAGCTCCTCGCCCCTTTGCTGCCTGCTTTGGAATCCTATGAACTGCCCCTTCGATCTCATATCTGTAGAGCAGGTGCTAAGGCAGTAAAATCTCTCTCTGGGGTCGCTGAAGTCAGGGCTCATGCTGGAAAGTGTGCAAGGTTTGTAAAAGCACTTCCTGCGTGATTAATTCCTTCAGACACTCCACTGCTTGACCCCAGACACTTCAAGGCCACTTCAAGGTCAGAAGCCAATGCCTTCTGACCCAGGAGGGGCCATCCAACTCATCCCTGCAATTTACACTATTATTTGCAAACTTTTTCCATCAAGCTTTGCCCTACAGGAGACCCCATGTTTCTCAGCTTCAGTTTTGCTGGGAGGGTTGATTTCCTGTATCTTTGTATAGACTACATTGTAATTGTGTTCATCAAAATTCCTGGTTAACCAGATCACTCCATTCCTTTTTAGGGTCAGAAAATAAGAGTTTATTGTTCTGTGTCCTAGCCAGCTGAGAAACAGGCCTAGTGAGTTGATTGATCCCCAGGGAGACATCGAGGGGCTTGCAGATCGGTGCCCAGGGTGACTAGGACCCTCGCTGAACTTCCCAGGAGACAGACACAGATGGAGGGAGCAAAGTGGTTTAGCCTCCACGCCCATGTTGGCAATTTTGGGGGTGCTGGGAGGAAACTCCGA